TTTTAGGGGATGAAGGATTTGCACACCACAAATTTTCTTATAGCTCTGCCTGTAAAGCCAGGTGATTTAATAACATATTTTTACTCCCTGCACACCTTACTTTACATTTAATTACATGCAGAAAAAAAGCCCAAGAAACTAAAAATCACAGAATCAGACAGAATTATTTGGGTTGGAAAAGACCTTCAAAATCTTCAAGTCCAACCCATGCCCTAAACTCAACTATAATAAATGAATGAAATAAATGACTAAAATAAAAATATTAACTTCATCACCCATTGAAGAAACGCCACGAACTAAACCTGAGGATACGTGCTAAATAAATAACTAAAATAAAAAGATACTTGCTAAATAAATAACTAAATTAAAAAGATTAACTTTATCACTCACAGAAGAACCACCACAAACTAAACCTAAGGATACCTGCTAAATAATTAAAATAAAAAGATACCTGCTCAATAAATAACTAAAATAAAAGGATTAACTTCATCACCCATGGAAGAACCGCCATGAACTAAACCTGAGGATACCTGCTAAATAACTAACTAAAATAAAATGATTAAATAACTAAAATAAAAAGATTAACTTAATCACTCACAGAACTACCACAAACTAAACCTGAGGATACCTGCTAAATAAATAACTAAAATAAAAAGGTTTAACTTCATCACCCACAAAAGAACTGCCACAAACTAAACCTGAAAATACCTGCTAAACAACTAAAATAAAAAGATACCTGCTAAATAAATAACTAAAATAAAAATATTAACTTCATCACCCATGGAAGAACCGCCACGAACTAAACCTGAGGATACTTGCTAAATAAATAACTAAAATAAAAAGATACCTGCTATTGCAATAACTAAAATAAAAAGATTAACTTCATCACCCACAGAAGAACCATCATGAACTAAACCTGAGCACACCTGCTAAATAACTAAAACAAAAAGATGAACTTCATCACCAATGGAAGAACCGCCATGAACATGTACCTGAGGATACCTGCTAAATAACTAAAATAAAAAGATACCTGCTAAATAAATAACTAAAATAAAAAGATTAACTTCATCACNAATACACAAAACTGATGAGGAATTGGAGAGAGAGGTGAAGGGGAAAGGCTTCACACTTGAGAGAGGGGAGGGTTAGATGGGATTTGGGGCAGATATTGTTCCCTGGGAGGGCGGGGAGGCCCTGGCACAGGGTGCCAGAGAAGCTGTGGCTGCCCCTGGATCCCTGGCAGTGCCCAAGGCCAGGTTGGATGGGGTTTGGAGCACCCTGGGACAGTGAAAGGTGTCCCTGCCCATGGCAGGGGTGGCACTGGCTGTGATTTAAGCTTCCTTCTAACCCAAACCATTCTGGGATTCCATCCTGTGATTCCAAAAGCTTTCCATGCCTTGAGAAAGATGATCCTTCCTTACCTTTCTATCAGCAAACTCAGCAGCTCCTGGGGTTTGCAGAAGGAGCGGTAGGTGGTCAGGAAAGTCCGAACRAAATTAGGATCTGTGAGGATAAAATGAGAGAAGGATGGGAGTGGGTTTTTATCCAGTTGCAAAATATCAGAAATAGATACAAAGAAAAAGTTTAATGTGCAGAAAAGACCCTGAGGTTGTAAGTCAAACAYTGTATTTGAAAAATTTGAAAAATACCACAAACAACACTGCTTGAGAAATTTTCACTCAATTATTTGATGCATTTCTCTGAAAAATACTGAACTGCACATGCAGGTTCTCCTAAAAACTCTGTCTCAGCCTTCCACAAGGAATGACTCCCCCTGATCATGCAGCTACTCTATTTGAGAAGTTTAACAAAAATTGCCCACCAGTCCCACCAGCACCTTCCCCTTGCACCCCAAAACCAACACCAAACATTTTCCTCAACATCAGCACTTCACAGAACCCCTCCAAGCTTTCCCTTCTGTGACTTTAAAGACAGTGTTTCACAGGAAAGGCTGCAAAATGCTGATTGTGATTTGCATCCTCTTCAACCCTGAGTGGGTTGCATGAATATAATAAATAAACAGAAAAAAACCAGAAAAAAAATATAAAAAATACAATAAATATAAAAAATATAAAATATTAATAAATATAACCTTCAACTTTTTTCTTCTTTCACAGACACTCGGCCTGTAACAGCTCCACTGCTTTAGCCATGATGAAACATGGAAACACACAACTGTATTTTTTAGGGGATGAAGGATTTGCACACCACA